ATTCGCCAGGCTAAGCTGAATTCCGTCATGGAAATCTGCTGTGCGAAAGGAAGGTCAAGCTTTGTCCTGAGCCTCGCCTGCGGCATTTTCAGAGGTGTAGATCAGCTATTCCGACGTACTTATTCTAAATGACAGGAAAGTATAAAGGTTAAAAATCCATGACCGGCATTCATACATCAAGTATAAAACACGACTATTACGCGGATAAGTTGTTAAATTCTCATTGGAATGGTCCTAAGAAAAACTAGTTAACGATATCGAATAATGGTTAGCCAACACTTAACCAATGAAAATAATGAAGCGCGGTATTCAACAACGTGCCATTTTCAATAAGGCACACCTATTCATCAGGCGATCACATAAAGTCAAAAACAGGACGCGTTAATTCATTGCAAATTCCTCATAACTAAGGTCGAATCACACTCACTCTAATATTTCTTTTGAAATTTCTTAAACAAGCAACAGCCCTTTCTATCTGCTTTATTATCTAGCTCCTTTCAATTGCTTTTGAATTCATGTCGTGGTATTGGCCAACTCAACAATCTCCAGAAATTCTATTGAAACCACAAAAGCCCCAAAACAGTTGACAAGATAATAAGTGTTACATTGTAAATATTTCGTCGAAAACGAATTGATGTTTCAAAAACGCAAATAGATCGGATAAATGATCTTGTGATACCATTTAGGAATCGACTGATCTGACTGGATAGTCCTGAGTACGAATGGGATTGTCTTGCCGGCTAGTTTCGTGGTTAGTGCCCTATAACACTATCACACGCCATAAAAATACAATGTCTATGTCACGAAAATATTGCCGTTTAATGTCAATCCTGTACTGAAGTCAGTACTTGATGCCCTAACCCATAGAAGAAATGCCCTTGTAGAGTAATGAAGAATAGCCTGGGAGTAGGCTCCGCATTAGGGGAAAAAGAAGAAGAAAAAAACGGCGGTCGGCGATCGGCAAGCGAAGCGAGCCGAGCGGTTCTCTGGGGAGGGAAAAAGGTCCGCCGCCCTTTCACTTTCCCCAGTCCACCGCTCAGCTCGCTCCGTTTTTTTACCTTTTCCCCCTATACGGAGCCTGGTACCAGGTTATATGAAGAATTGAATATCAATCAAATTCCATCAGGGAGCAATAACCCGCATGATAATGTTTTTGTTGATTTTTGAGGGAATAATATTAAAACTTGAAAAACGTTAGCCCAGCTTTTTCAATTTTCAATCCATGTCCATCCTTGCCACCTGTACGACGTAGCAACAGACGACAGAAAACAGTTTGAATACATAAATCGTACCATCAATGTCGACCGGTAGTCTGGAGAGCAACGGCAAATCTGAAGAGGTAGTACTGTTTTTCGGGACGAAATGTTCCAAACGGAAAATAAATTCGCGTTCGATTTCATCAAAGCCACCTTTTTTACCAGTTTTAGGCCTCAAATGTTGCTTTTCGGTAAATGAAACTGACTTGGACAAATGTTAAACACGATTCTGGTACGAACTTTACCAGTCTTGAATGTTGCTTACCATTTGCCCAAACAATGGCCGACCTATAATTTTTCCCATGTAGATGAAACTGATGTTAGCTTCATAACTTTAGGATTGATATCGGTATTGTTTTTTTTAATCGATATTTGGTATATCAACTTAATTTTCCTTATTTTCAAGCGTTAAAGGCGAGACTAAGATTCACTCTTAAGCTAGACGCATTTTTTATTCAACTTAAGGAAACTGACAAATTTTAAGAAATATTCTTCTAGCAAGAATCCAAAAAGATTTTTTTTCAGAAACTGATAAGAATTTTCTTTAGTTTTTCAAACGGCTGTGTAGCAGACAAAGAAACACTCTTGGGTATACGGTATACCGGGGCTTTTTAAATCGGGATACGGTATATTGCAGCTTAAATACGGGTATTCGGTATATCACTTTCTTTGAATTTCAGGTATAAAGTATACCTACTTTAATTTTGGGTATTTTGGCGAATTTTTTTCGGGTATACTGGTATGCCACTACCCCCCTGGCCGACCTGGTTTGTTTAAATCTTCACCAGTGGAAGATATGAAGGGCACATTTCATTTGTTTTCTTTACCTTCGAATTTTGCAATCTTTAAACCATTTACCTCTTTTTCCCAGCTAATGATGAGGGCGATTTTTGTCTCGCAAAATATTGGTCAATACCAGAATGAGAAAATAAAACAGCAGCCTTCCATTTTATTTACAAACTAACATCAATTAGCACTGACTGAAATACAAAAAGTGATAATGCTTTTAAAAAACATTTAAAATAACACATAGAAGACTAGGGGTAATCATAGATTAAAGAGTGCGTTCGATATGCGAAGTGAGTTATTTCCGGGCAGACCATAGATTTTTACAGGCTTCTATGAGTTAGTGTCCAGGGAGAAAAAAAGTGTGATGATGATGGCAATGATTAACATATTGTTAAAAAACAATTTTATTGTAAAAAGGTTGATTATAGAACAATATGTGTTGCATAATTATATTGCGCATAAGTTAACAACAAAATGAAATTAGTTGTTAGTTGACCCACGTGTTAGTTTCTTCAGCTGCAAGATTTAGATTTATTGGCAATAATCGGATAATTTCATTTGTACTAATAAAATATAATAAGACTTCTAGTCACGCAGCGACGAAAAAAAAATCCGACAGAAAAGTGTGCATCGTACATGTGCAGAGTAACGTTTTGCTCGTTCAAAACTTGCTTGAATTTGTTTGACTTGGCTTAAGCTCTCTAATGAAATCAATCGGAAGGATATAAGCTTCCTTTTTAGAGTTTCTAAATCATTACTTAAAAAATAAAGTGCAATGGTACCGGGAAAGCCTCGAGCAATAATTATGTAACTTGAGCGATGCATGCAGTTTTTATGTGGCTCGAAGTTGAAAGATCCACACCGCAATTCATGAAACTTAATTTGTTAAAATAACTAAACGAAAGTCGAAAGTCGAAGGAACATTTCTTGAACGCCGTGTACACCAAAAATTAACGCACTTAATCGCATGTGCCTGAATTCGAAATATACCCACGTAATTTAAGGCGCCATAAAAACAAACAAACAAACAAACAAGCGAAAGTAACAGAACAAAATTCACCTGTGTTCGCGTTAAAAATTGATTTTCTCGCCCAGCAGCAAAACCTTGAATCGAGCTTAAAAGGCAAACAGATCAAGAAACGTTCTGAAAGTTTCTATTGTGTTTTACAAGTCACGTGGACCAACAGTTATCTCGTATTGGTCGAAAAATGAGTCATGTGTTTTGTATCGTTCGTACCCAGGACAGCCACGTTCTTTCAAGAGGCCAGGCTATTTGGAAGTCCGTCCCGAAAAATCTCGATTTTTCCTGGCTACTAATTTAGGATGGCGTTCTGCGAACGCAATTAAATGAATTACTCTAAACAGAAATGTTAAAATACATGCATAATTCTATGGCATAAACATTCTTTACAGCTTCAATTAAAAATTTTCTTTGCCATAAAACGACTCAAGTTAATCGGTACACATATTAAGTTAATCGGTACACATAATAAGCTTATTGAATACATAGCACCTGTGTGATCAAACATAAAACCTACGCTTCTTCCTAATCTATTTTGTATGTTTCATGCTGTTGAACATTTAATACAATTTGCTCTGTACAGAGCAATATATAGCCTGCGTGCAGACGATAACTTAACTCTGATTAGTACCGGAGCTAACCAGAGTCTAATTTCGTCTGCGCGCAGGCTAAGCAATATACAGATAAACTTACTATAAACCCAAAAATTGCAACTCCATAGATTTGTAATAATAGGTGCCAAACAATTTCACGCATATTTGATTGATTGGCTTTCAATCCAAAGCTTATAGCGGTATTTTCCAACTACAGCCGAAAGTTCCACTTTCTAAGTAAAGAAACCTCTCATTTTAATCCATCGCCTCTCTTGGACTATGCTAACCGTGATGGTTACAGTCAAAGACTCTCCCAAACCTGCTATTAATACCGGAGCTGCGTTCTCCTATGGGATGTTACCTATACGATAAATCATCTCCGTAGGAAGGTTTTCGTGATTCAAATAAAGTAACAGTTTCACAGAAATTTACGTTATATTACGATATCAAACGCATCGCCATACACTAGTTACAGGGTTTATATCTTACAAAAAACCCTTAATTTTTTTATTTCCACCACCCGTGTGGCTGTATTTGCAATAAAAGTTTATTTCTAATATACTCTTGTGTTTCCTTTCCTGGAAATAAGGCTTATTGACAATAAACACCGTGTTGGAGAATATTACATCTCTTGAAGATGATTTGATGTGCTTGCTGCCACATCCTCCCGTTTGAAATCTAAAACTGACATGCGTGCTGTTGAGGTAACCCCGACAAGTTGGATCAATGAGATGTACGTGCATGCGTCTAATGTCTAACCACGGAAAGTTTGCTCGGAACAATGTAACAGTCGTGATTTTTGAGCCGCAATCAATTTCTGCTCCTTTGTTCCAAACGATCCCATGAACTACAGGCAAAAAAAAAAGACAAAAGAAAAGATAAATAGGTCAGGAAAGTGAACAACACTATTTGTAATTTCTCATCTTTCTGATAACATAGAACATATGGAAATGTCAAGAAACCAATGCTTAGAAAGGGTAAAGCAAGAAAATAAAGAGTAAGATGTGTTACTGTGGTTTTTTTTTCATATATATAGCCGTTATTGTTTCGTTCGTTGAAAAGAATGAGTCATACTGTTCCAGTAGCTTATTGATGAAGTGTAGCAGTTTAAGTTTTAAAAGTTAAGTAGAAACAACGTTGCTGCCATGTCCTTTCCCTGGTTGATTGACAGTCCAAAATTTCAAAGGAAAAAACCCTGGGAATCAGCCTTGCAAACAGATATAGAGCGTTTTCACTCATGTGGCCAACTTCTATGCAAATTTATGGGATCAAAAGAAAGCGTTAACATAAGAAAAGAATTCAACTCTCACACGAATGGTTTGGAACACCAACATGGCCGACGTTTTATTGTTTTGGAACATCGATTTGGCCGCCGTGACGTCATGTGAAAAACGCTCTATCCTGAGGGTATCACTCCTTGGGGGTCAGGGGAGGGGATATTTTAGAGGACGAGGCAGGGAGGGCAGAAGAGAAGGAAGAAGTTTCTCTCCGTTCCCTTTTTGCTTTTCTCTTCTCCGTTTTTCCCAAGAAGCGCCTGATACTTAGGCTACAGATATCCTTTCTTTTAAGCTGATCCTGCTGCGTAAAAATTACCGTAGCAAGACATAAACATGACACGAGTAGAACCTAGACAGAGCGGTGTTGTATTGGTATATTTTACTTGGTATATTTTCGTTAATCATGTGGTCCTCTATAGATCCTACGTTCTGCGGCATATTAGGTCAACAGGGGGACGGTGAACGATACCTTCAACTATCCTGTTCAGGAAGAGTTTGAGTGGATTCGATGATTTGAAAAAAAACCAAAAAAGAAAAATAGAAAAGTAGTTGGATATGGGTGGATATATTTCAAAAACCTGTTTTCTTCCGATAAAATGCTGTTAGTCTGAATACTGGTGAAAAGAAAAGCTGAAGCGTACGGATTCTCTAACTGGTCTTACCTGGAACGTGTAAGTTTATTTTGTGAGTGACGGTCTTGTTTCGGGCATCGGTCGCTCGGCAAACAAAGTGTCCGTCATCATAAATATGTGGTTTTATTACAAAACTCAACGTCCGGCCTTGTGCATGCGCTATCTTGACCTTGTGTCTGCTCATGCTGACCCTGATCGGGGGCTCACCTCCTTGGAAAACGCACCTCAGTTTGGTAGTCATTTTTGGTGGGGAGACTACAGTATTACTTGAGTTAGACAGATCAGGCATTAGTGGTCCTAAGAGAGTGTATAGAGGAAACATCACTTTGAACCAACAACATTAGTTCATGTAGTAACCTATATCTGGTATAGCAAAGAGTCAAAAAGGTTAGAAAATAAAATACAATAAATGCTACATATGCAAACATCAAGGGACAAGACCCTAAAATTTCAATGCTGCTAACGTATTAGGCATTATTTTTGAAGAGTTTTCCAAACCACATTTTTGCTTCTAACGAGGTTCATTATAAAATGCCTAAATTTAAGCAGTGATTTTTTACCAATTAAGGTTGGTGAAACATGATTTTAGTTGTATTCTTGTGCTAGGCACAGTTTAAGACAAGAAATCCAACTGCTTTAGTCATGATTAATTCGTATTTAAAGGACAGCGCATTCACAGCAGTTAAAAGGGATGAGGCTTTCTAAACTAAGCATGTCAATGAAAGGTACTCAAAAGGGGCACCTTTTCTGTCAAAAAATAGTACGTAAAAAAGTAAGGGGTTGGATCTTAGGGCGTAGAATCGCCGTAAATCTTTGTTGAGTGTCTCCCGGGTTTGTCAGTTGGGGTACAAGCCTACCTAGAGGGGAGGGCACGAGGGGGGTGGGGAGGTGGGGGGCCGAGCGCGACTCATGAGCCTCATGCGGCGAGATTCCACCCCCTCCCATTTCCACAGCCCATGACCCATTATGGTCTGCCGTGGTTCGTTTTCGTCCCATAATAGTTAGATCAGAGAAGTAACGACTCAGTACTGTGAGACGGGTCCTACGGTTTTTCTTCCTTATGCAAGAAAACTAAAATTGGAAGGATGTGGTCACTGATCACACAACGGAGTTAATGTTTGTTTATCGTTTACATGGGCTAACCGGTCGGTTTACGGATTGGACAAATGGAAAGAAAACTGATTCAGGACTAGTAAATTGCATTCCGGAATCGCGTTTTCCATTTGCACAAATCAGTTCCTTGTTCCTTGTCGCTGTGTTCCATTTACTCACTTCAAACCGGATTTTCCCGAATCTGTTTGAAATTGGTAAACAACTAATGTCTAGAATTTATCGAATTGTAAATTAGTTTTTTTAGCTATTATGCTATCGCTAAATTTATCCTCACCTATCGGCTTAAGAGATGTTTTCCCTTGAGCATGAGTTATCTCGTAATCACAAGTAAACGGAAAGTGAATTTCAGGTAGGTAGGTGATTAAGACTCCTTCAGGACGCCTTGGCTGGGTAATAACTGTGTTACGAGATCGCAGCGTATATTTGTTCTTGAGGTTTGTTTTGCTTCCACATCTACTAAGTGGAGCCTGGATTCTAACTTCCAAGTCCGTGATGGTATATGCAGTGCAGGTAGATTGGATAAGGCTAATACGGAGAAGGCCTGGATCGAGCCACGGATACACAAGTCTGCTTAAACTAACATCCATGAAGTCGCTGTTACAACTTACTTTTACTCCATCTGACGTCAAGTCACGAGGCCCTAAGTGGTAAAGTGAAACTAATATCATAGTACGATGAAGGAATATGTGATTTCTATTTACAATTAACACTAATTTTGAGGAAAGGCTTAGCCAGAATTACATTTAATCAGAACATAACTCGGACTTAAGTTTGGCTGATAACACTTTATTTCACTTTGGAAAAATAACATTTAAATTCAACATCTTTTACGTTAAATTTATGTTCTGTATTTCGGAGTGAAATAAAGTGTTCTTAACCAAACTTAAATACGAGTTATATTCTTGTGTTTTTCCACTTTTCAGCCTCCGGCAATGTTTCAAACAAAAGGTTCTTATAATATAAAAGAAGAAAGGCATTAGGCCTGGAGAGATGGAGTGAGGGAGAGAGAGAGAAAAAAGAGTTTTCAAAGTTGGGAACTTCCCTTTCGAGGATTTTCACTCAGGGCTGAATCAGAAGATACATGTAGGTTAAATCTTTTCAATTCATAAAATGGAATTGCAGACTTATCTTAGTCGCAAAACGATGAAAAAGGCGGAGATAAAACGTGAATACATGTAACGCGCAACTTTCGCAGTCGCGAAAAGGAGGCCTAAAAAAAATGCAGGCTTGCGTGGGGTTTGAACCCTTGACCGCTGCGATGCCGGGGCGTACACTCTACCAACTGAGCCAAAAAGTCAACTGGGGGGTTGGTCATTGAGTTAGTTCGTTAACTTATATTAGCTTGCATGTCTGCTGCTAAGGCATGCTATAGCTATGGGCCGCGGGACGTTTAACACTGAGGTAGCAGGGAGATTACGCTTCTTACCAGCTTTTCGAAGAGTAATTCTTTGCTTTACTCTAATTCCTTCTGCATCAGTCGCAATACATTCATAGGATCGGAACCTTGCTGTACGGCCAGTCTTAACTGTAAAGTACAAAGTCCTTCCTTTTACTTCGACGCTCGAGGACAATTTTTTCCCCCTGGTCAGTTGAATCCTGAGAGGAAGGACGCCACCTTTAAAAGTGCACATTAACCTGACTGTAAAACCTTTGTATGTTTTGACGATGAATGGACTGCTTTTTGACTTATCGGCCGTAAGAGGCTCTAGAATAGAAAGTGAAAACATCATTAGAGGACTCTATATGATTTGATTTGAGGCAGTCAGAATTTCTGTGACTAAAATACCCGTTGAAAACTATTTCAACCAGGACATTGTTACACCAGTACCAAGGCTCTGGCTACTCCACGTCTCAGACTGAGGTGACAGAGTCAGAATGTGTCCTCCGCCTCCCCTTTTTGAGTGGGCATATCACAAGGAAAGCCACCCTCCTTACTTCACTTCCCTGACTAACTTCGACAACACCGCCATTACCATGGGTAAACAGAGTCCTCCACGTTAAGTCATCTTCTTTTATTTCTATTTTGTACTTAGTTTTATTCAAGTTTTGTCTTACTTCTTCATTTGAAGGAGGACATTATATTCCCGTATAACCCCCCTCATTTTTGACCAAATCTTACTCGACAAAATATGGCACACTCGATCTAATCAGTCAAGAGCCAGTCTGGGGTAAACTAAGTTGACCATTTGCAGAAGGCGCTAAGTCCTGTTCATCTTACATTACACTATTGTTATGAAGCACCAGTAAAAAAAATATTTAAATTTTAAATATGGATGTTTCATCACCTGCAAGGACCTTTTCTTCTTTTTTCAGTGGACCTGAATCACTGTTTGTAAGATTGAGCCGACACTCAAAAGGAATTAATACATCCGGGAATCTAGTGATAATAGTTCCGGGTATGGGCCTTGCAAGTGCTATCAAGGCGTTACTATAGGTGACGTCATGATCTCGAATATCTGCCTTAGTTTTACAATCCCCATATCCTGTTTTGACAATCATGTGCGTGAAATTCACGTGATAAGGTCGGCAATTCTTGTCAAGGAGATAAATGTCAAAGTACTGTGGTCGTAACCATGGAAACATCAAGTGGTCAAGCTTTAAATACATTTCATCACGTGAGCACGTAATCTGTTTCCCATCAGACGATACGTTTGAAGGATCTATTTCAGAATGAAGAGAAATTTGTATACTTTCAGCAACTAGTCAACGATAAATCCAGCAAATGCGAGAAGAAGCGACGCCATTTGAGGATTTGCAGTCTTTATCTGAAGAAAATGCCTGCGATCTTTATGCGGTTTACACATGAACACGGGCATTAACCTTTAGAACTGTCAGTCTCAACTTTTTCTATATGACACAACGATCAGTAATATGACCTCTGTCCGTTCTCGAACAAAGAGGCCTACAGCTATATATAGATAAGAGAAAGGAAGAGATCGAGGCCATTCAACTCTCATAAATTGCGCTCACTCACCAAGTTTTGTTAATTCCATGTCATGTGTTATTTTCACCTTTTTCGCATCTTCAGCCCGGCAAGTGTACAAGCCGAATTCCTTTTTTCTTCGCCCAACAGTGATGTTGGCAGTTTTAGTGCCATTTTCTTGATTTGCAACTATTTTTCCATCACGTAAAATCACTACTCGCACCGGAGGGCTACCATATTTGAAAACACACTTCAACACAACAGGTAACCCCCGAAGAGTTGATACTTTCGAAGGGCTTGAATGCAGTGTATCCAGCTGTAAAGGAGCTAGAAACAGAGAGTATGTTGCGTTAGTTAGTGAACAGATTTTCGTTTATTTATTTATGGTGTACCGTAAACTGTCTCTTATAACCCCCCCTCCACTTTTAAGCCCCCTCTGCAGTTATAGGTCCATCTACCAGTAAACAAAAAAATACATCCGATTATAAGCAGTGGCGGATCCAGGGAAGAGGCCCGGGAGGCCCTGCCTCCCCCTTATTTTTAGACAAAACTGAGGCCTAAAGGGCCAAAAAAAAAAATTTAGACCGGGTTCCCCCCTTATCCCAGGGTCTGGATGACCGCCCCCCACCCCCTATCTGAAGGTTTGGATCCGCCACTGATAAGCCCCCCTCTATTCTTTCTTTCTTGGAATGCGATTAATTATGATGTTTTGAAGCTTGGTTATATACCAGTAAATACGAAACTTTTGGTTGATCAGTACTGCTACAGCTTGTGTCGGGGCGCTTTTTCCAGTCCAGTTATAAACCCTCTCGGGTATAAGCCCCTCCGTTCATAAGCCCTCCTTAAACCCCTTACGAAGATGCATAAGCCAAGGGCTCATAAGCGGCAACCCAAAGCAAGAGGTTGGTACCAGATTTTTTTAAGCATACTTTTTTTCTGCTAAACTTGCCTGACTAGCCTTATAATTTATGAAAGTTGTCTTTACTTCAAGAACAAGTGCAGCAATATATTTTTTCTATTTCAAAGCGCCACTTTACCAATTCTTCGTGTAATGTTCTTTCTGCCATAAGTGCAACGAAACTTGACCTCTACATCCGGGATAAAAGAAACCAGCTGACCAACCTCAGGCTCTTCGGTCATCATAAATGAGTTACTGAAGATCATATGATCTTTAGTAACCTCTAAGTTGGTACCGCAGTTGTAAAGTGGTGTCCTAATGGAGACGTGTGTACTATTGACATAAAACGGTTTGCAGTATTTATCAATCAGGTGCATCTCAAGTTTCGATTGAACTCTCTCCCAGATCTTTGGGTTGAGGTTCACATCAAGTTGTATAAAGTCCCTGCCACAGGTTATATGACTGTCGACGAAAGGCGGCTCTGCAGAGGAAAAAAGAGTTTGCTGCTTTAAATTCATTCACACTGAGGCTGTGATTTGATTTGTTCGAATGGTATTTGATCCATGGTTACGAAATTGTACGGTATACATTCTTTAGTGGCGGATCCAGGGGAGGGGGCTGGGGAGCCCGGCCCACTTGTTTTTAGACCAAACTGAGGCCCCAAGGGCCGAAAAAAGAATTTTTGGAGATCGGGCCCCCTCCCTTTTCTAAGTGTCTGGATGACCGCCCCCACCTTATCTCAAGGTCTGTTTTGGGTACCAAAAACGAAATAATATAAACATTTATCGCTATCAGGAAACTGGGCACAATTTCGCTCCTTTGAACGTTATCCCAGCGAGAGTTTTATAGGAGGACAGAGCAATCTACGTAAGTGGAATTAACAGTCACCAAGGATCAAGTGCGTATTTTACTGAAGAGTCATAAGGAGCGTCCTTGTAACCTATAAGAACAATTTCTGGCTTATGTACTTGAGTATTTTATTTTAATTTTTTTTTCATTCAGGTCTTTAAAAGTTTCAGCATTACTCGATGCCTCGATGTTGATGTCTAAAGTTTAGAAATTCTATTACAAAAGGAAATGTCGCCAATGAGGGAAGAATGGGAACGGACGGGACTGGGGGGTGCGGGAAGGGCTTAGGACTTTAAGGGCGAAGCCGGTTTTACTGAGTTATCGTTATGTATAAGGGAAGAATCTTCTTCGGAGGGGAAAGTTTAAAGGAAGTTTGGTTGGGGTTGTGCTGCTGAAACCCTTTGATTCTGACCCTGTTTAAGGCAAAATACAGTTTTAGTTTGCAGTCTCGTTTAAGACGCTAAATAGTGAAATTGGACACTTATTTTAAGATTCAAGATTCCATAAACCTTTACCATGAAGAGCGGCACATATCGAGTGAGCCAAACATAGAATTCCCCCGCCCCCCCTTCCCCGAGCGCGTGTGTCCATCTACACACTCCCAAGGGAACCATTTTTCATACATGAAGACGAAGAAACAATGCATTTGTTAGTGACGACATATAGTCAAGACATCATGACTAATTCTGGTTGTGTATTTTTTTCTGTTTTTTTGGCGTTTTCTCCTTTTCTTTAACAGGCATGATCTGTAACATGTAAAAGGTGAAACGTGATCTATGAGGTCAAAAATAATTTTGTAAATTACAGGAAAATACATAGATTTTTCATAAATAAAATTAATTCGTCAAAGGGATAACATAGACGTATTAAAGCAAAAAAGAAAGGTAAAGAAAAAATTTGAATAGTATTTCGTTATGAGCTTTAAATTCTAAATATCTGGTAAAAAGGTAACGTTATCCGACTATCCAATAAGAACCAATGACATTTGTGATCTTCAGATTGACATAGTACATCACACAAAAATCACGTTACTTTTTTGATGCGATTTCCTCGCTACACTCGCTCGTTCAATCCTGTATCTCAAGTCTTATTCACAGAGGACTCTTAAGAGTCAAAACAAAATTTTATTAAGAATATTTAAAAAAAAAAGACAAAAAATTTATGAAAAATCTAATCAAAAAAATTTTTCAGAGTTTTTTTGGCTCACAGCCACAAACAAAACGATTGTCCAAGAACATTTCTTTCACTCATGTGCAAGATACATGTACTCTTCTGTACTAGCCTTCCAAAGAAGCTCAAGGCGGCTGCAAGTAGCATGTACCTTTCTAGATCTGTTGCCGGTGTTTTGAGGTACGTACATGGTATATGGCTCTAATTATCGATAATTGAATCAATGACCTATCGATGATAACCACAGCAGAATGGATATGATTGGAGGACTTATCATGACATATGCAGTTAAATGCATTTTTGTTGTTGTACACGATTGTAATTTCGACACAAATTCTGAACACAACAAGGTGCTTTTTTAGAGCTGCACTTCAAAGATCATCAGTTTCTTGAAACTAAGACTTTAAGAGATTAGAAACAGCACGACAGTCTCTATGAACAATGCTGGCACAGGATTGCGGTTTAGAGATCATTGACCTGTGCCTTAGGTTCCTTTTTTACTTATCATCACTTTTTCATCCACTTTTAAAGTATCATAGAAATCAAAGGAAAACTATTTGCAAAATACTGAAAGACAAACAATAACAATTCAGATAATTGTCATATCAATCGGTGAAAAGGACATATGATCTCCCAAACGTTTCGGAATAAATTCCTTTCCGTAAAAGCAACAATACTTTTCACGTTAAAAAAAACATTACCGCACAGCACGGGGAGAGTTATAGGAAGGAAATATCGTGTGTTACTTTTAAGTGTTATCTTCTCTTCAGGTGCTTAACATTGGATGTACTCCGCATTCAATTGCAATACATAGTGACGTACTTTATTTAGCAAGGAAAATTCCAATATCAAAAAATGCGTTTCCAACAACTGAGAGTTAATTCTTGAACGACCAATCCATGCATCCAGGAGTTAACCAAATCACCTGGAGGTTAATGGAAGTATTTTGTTTTCCCAGATTTATTACCATTGATATCTTCCTTATACACGCAATCTTGATGATCAAAGCTAAGACTAGACTCTCCAAATGTTGGCAACTAAAAAGACACGCTACAGTAACATCATTGTTATTCATGAATTGTCAGGGATGCTCAGTTTAGGTTACTATATGGGTATTTGCTGTCTAACACGAGACTCAAGGTAAGTATTCTCAAAATGTACCGGTAGTTTTTGGTGGTTTGTTAAAACTGCCGGATAAAGTTGCAATAAATATCATCTCCTGTTATTTTACAGAACAGCCTCGTGGAAATCAAAACGTAATGAATTTGCAAGCTCTGGAGAAAGAAAAATGTGTCCTCGCACTGATTCAAAAATGTGCGAAATTGCAAAATTCAGGTCTGTAAAAAGAATTCAATACATACCTTTAAAACTTCCCTTGGTTGGTGTTCCGCAAGAAAAGATTATAAAGAAGTTAAAAACAAGTTTTTCGTAGGTCATTTTTATATTGGAAACCTTGACTTCAAGAGAGCTTTTCCCAATGCAACACTACATCTGCACATACGGTTCTAAGGTATATACCTAAACTGCGCAACACATGCATTCTTGGTATGTGTCCAACTTTTTCAGACTAATAATAGATCGAGAGGATTTCCGGTTGAAAAGAGCTTATGTAAGTAAACGCAGTTGAATCTTTCCTGTGGGAATAATCACAAAATTCTGTATAATGGAGAGTTTTTCCCAGCATTGTTAAAAACGTCAACCACACTTCCAAATGCTAAGGACCTTGTACGATTAATTGAGAACTAGAAATTTGTTTATTTATTTAATTTATTTTATGTTTACAACCTTAATGTGAACTGTGTATTTCTAAAAATAAAATATAATGAAATGATGCTAGACTCCGGTTCTTTGACTTTCATAAAAAATGATGTAGCTAATATTTATTAGTAAGCCATTTTTATGACAAAGGTTTTCTTGGGCTTCTACTTGAATCGACTTGGCGATGAAATCGAGTCTTTCAACAAAATAGCACAAATCAGACGACGTTATCGGCAGAGGCGAATGAAATCAACAATGATTTGCAATCTGTCTTATAAAGAACAAAACAAATTCCAAACCCTAAAAAATTAATCAGCAAATTTAACTACGTCATGGTTTAATACAACTCTATCCAAGTCTAAAATGGAATCCTGTCACCAGGAACAAATTAAAAGATCAACACTGACTAATGTCAGGCTCCTCGGGACCTGCTGATCTTGATCATGTGTTTTGGTTTCGTTTTTGATGGAGGGTCGAAAAAAAGAAAAGCATAACCGCCCATGATGTCAGGCTAGGTATCTCGTTCAACGGCTCCGGTGTAAAGCTTCAGTTAAAAGGTTAACGTGACGACGCGAGGGGTGACGTAGCGAGGCCTACAGATTCACGCGCAGTAAATACTCTATGCCCTAAAGCAACTTCCCATTGTCCCCCCCAGAGCCCGTCGTTTCATTTGGTCACGTTACATATTAAGTGGCTCTAGGGACGAGAATGCAAACTTCAGAGCGCGTCGTTTCTCTTAGCTCTTGGCCCCGTGGTCATTGAACCTCGATCTGACGCTCGTTAGCTGTCAGAGAGACGATCCCCTTACAACCCCCATCGTTGTTTGAAAAGAGTAAAGTGGTGTGGTCAACCTTTCATGGGTCGGGTGGGTAATTAAATTTCAATTTGGACCAAATTCCTCCCTGGTAACCGTGTTGATTTAATTCCAAATTGAATATAAGCCGTGCAACTAAAGGTCAAGTAATACAGACAACATTTTCGGTCGTTTTCGCTCAACTTGTCGCGCAGCCATGTTGCACTGAAAGTTGAAGAGCGTTGTTGCCCGTACTACCACCTTCTCTCTTAAATTGTCACGCAACAAATTTCAATGTTGCAAGTTGCGACAAAATTTTGCGTAAAGCAGACCCGAGTTGTACTTTTTGCAACAAACGTTTAATCATTATCCTAAGCGTCACAACTGGCCATTCTTTACAACGATTGTGATAAATGGTAAATTTTTCCCGCACTAAAAGGTGGGAAAGATGGTGAGTAAGCCCACGCTTGACCTAGGGCAAGCTCAAAAAGAAAACGAGAGAGTTGCCAAGAAAGCAAAATCGAGAGAAATGGATAAAATATAATTGTTTTTTTTTTTTTTCAAAAATGTCGTGAAATGCCTTCAAAGTCCAGCATCCAGCAAGTCAGGAAAACAATCCTGCTGTTTCATTTCGATCAGGGGCGACACCTTATCCACCAGAAAAATGTCGTTTCATCATGCGAAAAAAGTGCGCATAAGCAACAACGTCACCCTTAACCAGCTGTTTGTAAAGCCCTCTTTCTTTCCTTCAAAGCAATCCACTCTCTCATGATGTCAATCTTTCGGTTTCTTTTGCGTGTTTTTAGACATTCTTCGTCCATTAATAATCCTAAACCAAGGGCGGCGAACTGTTGTTGGCCGTATTACCTGATCTTTAAAGGTTGTAGTTGTTTAAAATTTAAATTAAATCCCTTTCAATTGGGCCGACTCTTCTCTCACTCCAAGGTACAACAAACTATCACGGAAACTTTTTCAACTTTTTTTTAGAATACTGTAAAATATACTGCCATGCAACAGTAATTGAACTAGGGTGGGGACTGAAGATAGATGAACTCGTTTGCAAGCTCGAGAACGCTAGCTGGTGAAGCGAGGCAAGCTAATCCTGACGCCAGTGCCACCAAAACTTGTACATAAGTAATGCCTTATTACTGCGATTCTTAAGTTACTTGACATGAAAGATACCGAACTTTTGGACTTTATAAGATTAGGAGAGATATGAGAGGGCAATAGTTTAATCTGGTTTGAGGTTTTATCCTGCTGAGTGTCGCAAGTAAATTGCATACAATTTTAGGACGTTTAAGACTTAAAATGGCTTTAAATTTATCTATAACTGAAAAATACTCTTTATGGTAGATCTCCTTTAGTCACAGTAAAGAAATCATAATAAATATACATTTTATTAGACGCAGCTATCGTCATTGCAAACTTTAACAAACTAGAAGTCAAGTTAAGTTCATTTTGGTTGCCATTTTTTCACTGCCCCAACTTGGGTCCGATCTGAGATCTAAAAGAAGAATACTCTTTCATGAGAAAACTAGGAAGTAGCATCGCAGCTACGTGACCAGATTTCAAAATAACGTCACGTTCGCGGTGAACTTTGAAGTGAAACGAGCCACCTTTTTGGCACCAAGTGAACCAACTAACCCGTTTTTTAGAGAGAATGCTTGATGTCCGTGATATTTATCATCTATTAAATTCAAATTTGTTGGCGTCGACATTACCTTACTTCTGTTTCTTACACCCATCCATTTGTCCCATAATGATTTAGAAGCACATTATTCATACAAAAGTACAATATGTAATTCAGGAGCATCAGCCGGTTAGTGCCTAATTGCACGTTTGAAAATTTTCACAGAGATCACAGTGGTATTCAAGGGGATTATTAATAATTTATCGCTCTTCCTCTCCCTCCCCCTCTTACTCTCTCCTGCTCATCTCATTTTTTACAGCTGCATTTTTTTTGCTTTTGAATCAAACTATTGTATGAGAAAGAAGCAAGCGTTCTCTATTCTATCACCCTCTGTGGGGATTTGTCTTTATGCCATATGAAGCTGTACCGCTTAAACAAGTGAACAGAACAACTTTCCCCCTCCCTACCCCAACATCAAATTTAATCTAGGTGTAAATGTATACTAATCAGTGTTAATTGATCATTTTGGATTTAGTTCAATTATCTTTATTTGTGTAATACAGTTGAGTCAATTTAGATCGTCGTAAGTTTCTTAGTGAATCATTTAGGGCGGTAGTCGGTGACATACCCATTATCGCACTGGTTAGACATGGAAATCTCCAAAAGATGTTCTTTGTACCTACTTTGGTTTTATATTTGCGTTTTGCTATCGGGATTTCAAGTTTCAGTTGTCAGCTGCAAGGATTTCGCCGTAATGGATGAGATAGAGAAAATTAACAAGAACACAGGTGCGTCCGATAAACCTAACCCTTCAGGGAACGCAAAACTGAGGAAGCAAATTTGGAATTACGCAAAACTACACATGCAATCACAATTAGCGTGATTTCTTTCTGTCAGCAAGCAGCTTAGGGTATATTTAGGGTGATGAGGGCTTCCATTTTAGTTTGATTGTTTTAAACTGAACAACTCGCGTAACTAATGCACATGATGTCCATGATTACGAAAAATGATTAACTTGTAAAAGAAGGCTCTTTTTCGAGTATGTAAGTGAGGGCCAACGTTCAGGAAGAGAGTGAGAAAAAGGCACGTAACTACATTTCCCTGAGGGCCATACATTGACACCAGTTGGGCAGAGGGTGGCTCAGTATGATGTGCAGAGCAGAACTAGCCGAACGCTGACACAGACACTGCATTAGCTTTGAGACGTAATCCTCAATCGGAGCTATAAGAGGTACTTCAGAGCGTTAGAAAAATCCGGATGAAATAGGAAGGCCACTTAATTAAATCGCTACATGAAAAGTAAAGATCGGTAAAGACGGGGCATCCCAAATGAATAGGGCTGAAGGTTATCACTCTTGTCGATTAACCATCCTTTTTTCGATCCAGCGGGTATCTCGAGTTATCACGTTACATTCGAAAAACAACTATAAAACACAACACAGGTTTTGAGGCGTTGCAGACATCTATTGGACTTCCTTAACTTTTCCGAAAGCTGAGAAAATGTTCCATATTTATTTTTTTTCTGATCCGTGCTTATCTCGAAAGTTTTGCCATAATCAGAATATTTTCCCAGCTAAACTCTTTCCACTTGATGACATCTCAAGGGTATTAGGGCCAAAATTGCTCAGAAGCCGTTTATAAATCGCCTTAAAATGTTATAAATTTGGCAATGCACTTGACCTATGAGGTTCCATTCATTTTTGTGGATACCTATAGAGTGGCAATACTTTGAAAACTGCTTTGATTCAGTCTCTGTAGTGTTCGTATTTTAACACACGTGTCTCTGTGCCTTTGGTTTCTGTATTAACCAGGTTATACTGTAGAGCGGTATATCCTCACCTCAGATAATTTGAAATAACCAGTTGCGACACGGCAGGAAAACTGCATAATTAGGGGAACGAACTAGTTTAAAAAACAATGTGGTAGCAGTGAGTCTCAGGGCGTGTAAATTTTTTTATCCTTCTTTCTTCGCCCTTTATGTTGTCTAACATTCAGTTTGCTGCTGTTTTTTCTTTTTTTTTCGCCTTTCTGCCATCGTGTGGTACTCCGATTTGGGTACCAGATAACTGAATGGAAAGAGAAAGCAAACTGGGAAGGAGGTGGATAGCCCGCGAAACAAGCGTCAGTTTTCGATCGTCCTTCGCTCTTACCCAACCTTCTCGAGGAAATAGCGCGGAAACGCTTAGGTCCAGGGTATAAAGCGAACAGAACCCGAGACAGAGAGATCAGTAAGGTTTGTTTACAAGTTTTGTTTGCTGATCGGAGAAAAGCAGGACAGGGCTGTAAAACCTATTGTTATCGGCTGCAACGGATATCTGAGGACTAGCAGAGAATAAATATAAATTACAGGGATATATAAAATCGAACGACTCGATGAATTTCAATTGTGTAAATAACCTTGCGTGCCTCTAATTCGCTTCCGATTGGTTTCAAAACAATCAGCTCCTGTCACAACTCACACATGCGCAGTACCGTGACAGAGTCCCTTTAATCTGCATTTTTGACGGTTGACTGAAAAAATGTCCTTTTTTGACAGTCGATGGTTAAATTTATGCCGTTTGACGGCTGAGGGTTAACCCTATTGTGTTAAGCTTAAGCCGGTCTCATAAGTGTTGTTTGCCAAATAGCATTGTTATGTTCAGAATACTCACTTCAAGATTATTGCTTGTTATCGATTTTTGTTAGTCGATAGTAATCGATAAATTACTTTTTTGTGACTTCGATTTCTATCGATTTCCGATATCAATCGATATCAATCGGCGGATTTTAGAATCGATTGACTCCCCAATTTCGACGACCCGTACGTGCTTTTCGAGGAAACAGATGGCGCAGGAGAAACTGATCGGCTAGGATTTGCTATTTCTGACAGCCCAGTTGATAAGTCAGCTGTGTATAAAATGAAAGAAAACACGTTGCAGAAAATTTGCAATTTTCTCGGGAGAATAAAAAATAACATAAAACTTGCCGGCAATTCGATCTTAGACACAAATTAGCGATTTTAAGTCTGCTCACCATTTAAATAAAAGGAAGGAAGAGCCCGTCCTTCCTCTCCCCAGATTCTCCTCCCGTTTCATTTTCATGCTCGCGCTTTCTCAATCCCCGCGGACCGGACTATCTCGGAGCCTGGAGCAGGCTATGGTTGTTTTAACAATGTGCGTTTATATAGCTGGTTGATATTGAAAGAAAACAAATTTCAGAATTACGTGTCTGAAACACACATGACACCTCAGAAATACAAACGTAGCCGTTAAACATGGCGCAATTAAGCGGGTTTCGATGACCGGGAATATATCTTTGAGCTGCCCGACGAATTTCTAAGAAGTGTCTGGCGTCGTTCTCCCCCGCAAAGTTTTGAACTAAGCCTGCCCAATGAAGCAGCGTGCCATCTCCTTAGAGTAACTGCCAATATCGAGGTTACGTGTAAGGCGAAACAGGACCATTCCCTCGCTTGTCGAACCCTCCCTTAGGGCTTTCTGTCAAGGCATCTAACAAGTAAAAACATGCATTGGATTACAGAATCTTCTGTTTGAAACCTACGTCGGAGGATTGCTTTGCGTGCTAACCAGTGCCTTACACTCACTTCGGCAGGAAGGTGTCTATGAAACATGGTTTTGTCTGTTAATAGACCTGACGTCTATGTCATGAAGGTTTGCCCTACCTGACCCGGGAATCTTAAGTCTCAAATATGGGCAGACGTGTAACGTGAAACCGTTAACCACAAACCACAGTTTGTCGTTTTCAGTAAAATGACCAAACCTCAATCTTAAGGTCACTAATTTCTCAAACGCTCTTCTTTATGTTTTCGTTAAGCCCCTAACTCTACCGTCTCCTCGGTCTCGTTTGCATATATCATACACAAACTGTAGCTGTGGGTCTAAACAATTATCTTTGACTGCCGCTGGACCCTTTCAAATCAGTTAATGCCAAAAATGTAGTGAGTTAAGCATTTCTTAGAGCGAAAAATATATTGAAGATTCCTGTTCGTTCACGTACCCTGTAGAATACATACCCAAGTGTTCACTTCAAGGCGGCCGAGTTTGTATTGTAGAGCGGGTAGGAACTGTATGAAGCTTGGTGTTGTAAGGGGCCGTAATGGAGATGTGTCCCAGAGACGAGAGGCGACTGCATGTGTTCAGGTATTTTGCAAGAATTTATGACTCTAATAAAGTCCTCTATTTACGTCATATTGTAGATCCAGATTCTGAAGACGTGGCCATCATTGAAGGCGACATTCGTCTACCCCCAGTGGAGTCTGCGTCTGCTAGCAATGAATACTCCAATGCTGTTCGCAACAAGTTTAGACTGTGGCCTGGAGGAGTAGTACCTTATGTAATAGATAACAACATAGGTAAGAAGAAGAAAAACGAAAACAAAACATTTTCCCCCCTCTTCACCGTCCTCATGCCAGTTAGCCTGAGTATATAAAATGTCAGTAAGTCCACAGCAACAAACCAACGAGTGGTGCCGGATCTCCCACTTGTAGACCTGGATCAGTACAATTAAACTTGTAAAGAAATACGTAACGGCAAATTGATCCTTACGGCAAGGCGATGAAGAAGTAAACAAAGGAATAAAAACAAAAAACATATATATTGGCAATTTGTTTAAATATATGTGTTTTTGTTTTATTCCTTTGTTTACTTCTTCATCGCCTTGCCGTAAGGATCAGTTTGATGTTTCATATTTTTCTAGCCTGAGTATTTGACGTTCCTTAGGGATTAGGGAGGAGGGTGTTTTAAAGGAAAGCGGCACTGTCTGCCTCTTTCGCTTGTTTTTTCCCCTTCCTTCCCTGCAGGAACCCAATGCCAGTTGTAGCTTACCAGCGTTCTATGACGGTCTTGTCAAATTCCTAAATATCAAGGGATTTTTGTAGGCGTACATCCTAAGAAAGCATTTTAAGATTCTGGGGAAAGTATTTTACGTTTGTGGAGGAGTGAAAGACATAATCTAGATTTTATCAGCTAATTTAGAGTTTCAAAAGTAAGCCATTGGTCACAGCGAATCCGCCTGCGATTACTGACAAGGTTGAGCGAGCCTCTTCATAGGATTCTTAGTTGACTTGTGATGTTATACTATGGTATTCTAAATTTTGACCATGATTTCAGATCCTTAAACTTGTTCTCACTTTAGTAAACCGTACAAAGCACATGGAGGCTCTACGAAGGGCGATTGAAATCTGGGAAAATAACACCTGCGTCAGGTTTATTCCGCGGACAAATCAGCATCGTTACGCCTACATCTATTACGGTCCCAAAGGGTAAGAGATCTTTTTTGAAGCGTACGTGTTGTAATCAGTAATTATTTGGATTGACTGCTCTGCAATATGATAAAATGAGATGCAATAATAAATAAATATCTTCTCACGGCAGTGGGAGAAAGAAAGAGCCTTGGGTCTCCGGTATGATTCGAACATATGACATCCCAGACACTTGGTGGGCACCCTATCTAACTTAGACGCGCCGGAGAGACCTCCAGTGGAACAAGGCCAGTTACTTGGATTATAAGTTGTAGGCGTCCTGCAAACTGCTAGGATCAGCTGTTTGGATATGTGAAAAAAACATACGTGAAAAAAGAATTCATAACATGCTGATAAGACTGTTCACAGTCCCTGATTATTTGTAGGATTGTCAGGAGCGACCGCCTACCGGCCACCTTCCTTTCAAATGGTTTAAGGCGGTAGGCCGAAACCAAGATGGCCACCCGCAATGGTGGGTGCTCGATCCAGACAATCCTATGGAAATATAGGGAACTGTGAACTCAATCCTATATTTCGTGAAAAAAAAGGGCCTTTTAAAAATCTTCGAAGAATTTAGAGCAGAAATTGATGTGCCCAAGTATCGCTGCTAGAAAGTTAGGACCAATGTAAAACCCTGGCACAATTTTTACCACCTGATCTCAACAGGCTTCTGTCTCAAAATATGTAAACATCGAATGACAATCACCGCTGTATTCACAAACGGTATTCTTCCTTTAATCGCTGTGTATCATTCTCTATCCTGTGATATGTAATCTTTATCTGCCTCTCTACCCCCTTTAATTTCTTTCTGCCGCTACCTCGGTGCCGCTTGTAGATGGATCGCCAGGATTATTAACTCTGTCCAGTGCTGTACTTCCAGTTTCTAATCTAGTAATGTTTTATGTAAGAGACCTATAATTGTACAATCGTAGCTCAAGTCCCAACCTCAGGTTTTGGGGATTTTCTTTCTCTTAAATGATTGCCTTCCACTCTATTAGGCGGGTGATCAGAGCTTTCTGCCTCCTTGACAGGCCTCGCTCTTGGGCTTCAAGCCCTATCTCTATAGGGGGGAGGTTGGTTTTTGGGTGCCAACCACGCGCCACCGCACGCCCAGAATCTGTAAGAGTACTCCCACGTGATTCATACTTAAGACCTACAGGAACTTAGATCGGTGGTGCTATTTTGGACACCTTCCAAACAAGGAGCGTTTTCTAGGGGCCGGGTGCACATCCCCAAATTCCGCCGACGGGCCATAAAGGAGCCAATATTAAATAAATGCATTTTTAATTTGCCACAAGAGCAAAAAAAATAAAAATAAAAAACTGACAAATTAATACCTTTTTAGTCGAGTAGCAAGTGTTCCTGAGCGAACTCTCGCTATAATTTTACGCTTACCTCACCGAGTGTTTCTACGTAAAACAAAACCTAGACAGAGACTAGCCCCTGTCAGTGACTGATATGCTTCGCTATTTTTTTTCAGTTGTAACTCTCATGTCGGTGCACTTTGGAGCAAACCCTCAAAGGTATCCCTTGGTTCACGCTGCTATCTGGCTGAAATAGCAACACATGAGCTTGGCCATCTCCTTGGTTTTGGACATGAGCAAAACAGACCTGATAGGGATCAGTATATTGACATTTTGTGGGAAAACATCGATACAGGTCACTTATTTCAGTGCTTCATAGTTACATTTTCTATTTTTTTGTGTAGGAATAGAAGTATCACTTGAAACCAATTATAATTAGGTTTTGATAGACTGTTCACAGTCCTCTATTTTTCCGTAAGATCGTCGAGATCGAGCACTTTGCGTTTCGGGCTGCATCTTGCGTGAGTGTCAAAACTACTTAGGGGGCAGGGGGCGGTTTGGGAGGAAGCGAGAAAAATAGAGGGACTGTAATAACATCACTGCAGCTCGCGTTCAGGAGGCGTGACAGGAATTTCACGCCTTTTACCATTCATTAATTAAGAAACTCCGCTGGCGATGAAAAACATGCCAGACACATTTAGCATCGATTACGTGTGTTTACAAATATCTCCTTTCGAAACAGTGATTTTATAATGTTTCTAGGCCATTCCTACAAATAATATCGGCAAAGAGGCACGAAAGAAACATCTTCCTAATCGAATTGCTAAGCTTGCTCGCTTGACCATAGACTAAAACGGTTAAAACGTTCCGATAAAAAGCCAGGCATTTCTGACAGGTCATCTTTTTTGCGTCGGCGTTGCGTTAAATTTCATTTCGTTTGGCAGAAACTGTGTTACAACATTCCCGCGGCCGGGCTGCTTCCAAAGCATGTTGGCTTACGTGATTCATCCGCAAAATACCAAAAATCGTTCGTGTGTTTGCGCAAGGTGTACCTTATGGTATGAAAGCGTGCATTTTACAGAAACGACGACTTGTCAACGACTTGTCAGTGTCGGCAACTTAAACTAAACCCGTTGTCAACGCAAATTAACATCTATTGTCTAATGACCAATCAAACGCCTGCGTTGCTGGTACAACGCGCTCCGTGAACACAAACTGCAGTTATGTTATTACAGTCCCTCTATTTTTCTCGCCCACCTCCCCCTAGAGCTATAATCCCCCACGCCCGCCCCCTCGGTACATTTGAAAATCAAGATGGCCGTCATTAACGGTAAGACGTGCTATATCTCAACGATCTCACGAAAAAATAGGGGACTGTGAACAGTCTAGGTTTTGATTATGGCGCAATTTATACAGTTAATAAAAGTTCTCATTAAGACCTTTCTTACTGGCCTGGGTTGTTTAAACTTTACATAGCGTTATCATATCCAGCAGATAAGTATTTAGGAAACCAATTGCGTTATCCAGCGGATAACATTATCCACTTTTTGAACAACTGAGGCCACATTTTCCCTGTGACAATCTTGCAAAGCTAAAACTAACAGTCAGTAATATTCCATCAATTCCGAGGGTTTTCAGGGCGTGTCACTGTATCTTGTTGCAAAAATCCACAGCAAAGTAGAGTAGAATAGGATTTCCAGGAATGACAGATGAGATAACGGAACTTACAACAGACGCCCTTTAATCAATCCTGGTTTCTATGTGATTGTCGGGATCGTCCCGATCGTTTCATGAAAATTTCGAGACGATCCAGACGACTGGGAGCCTTGCTATCTTCTTTTTCTCTCGATTTTGCGGCGTCGAGAAGCTAGAAGAGTTCCACGAAAACATAGTATCACGTCGAGAACTTGATGTCACGGACTTCTCTAGTTTCAAATAGCACCCATACGCGGTGCGAACATTTTTGCATTATTTTGTTTCGACTCTCGATTACTGGTAAGGAATAAAAGTGATGCCTGTTTCAGGATATCCTTCGCGGATCGTTTCAGTCGTCTGAGAGCGTTTGCATATGCCAAATCGCTTCGAAATTTGCACGATCGTCCGGATAGAACTCTACTCTGTCCAAGCGATCGAGGTCGTCTCAGTCGTCCAGGTCGTTCGCGATCGTCCGGGTGGCGTTTCCATGTGATCGTCCAGATCGTCTGAATATTATTTGAGACGACTGGGACGATCCAGACGATCATATGGAAATCAGGCTTTTTAAAGCTTAAAAGTTAAAAAGTTAAAATTAAAACTTAAAAAAGTTTATTAAGGTAAAAGTTAAAGTTAAAACTTAAAAGTTCCAGAAGTGACCAACATCAATTTTCTACTAACAATTGCAATAGTCTCACTAAAACAACATTTTTAAATTACAGCTAAACATAGAATCTTCAGAAAGAGTAGGCACTGGTTCTTCCAAAGTCTCGGAGTTCCTTATGACTACAGTTCCATAATGCATTATAGCCGCTACCAGTACTCCAAAAATGGCGAACCAACAATGGTATCACGTGACCCTAACATTCAGTGGTTTGGGGGTCTCATCCCAAGTAAACTGGACATAAAACAGGTTAGTCGGCTTGTCAGGAAATTTTTCCGTCAGTTATATAATTGGCTAGTCTTGTCGCAAACTTCCCCCAAATATTTAATTGCTAGCCATCCAAATACAGCATATTTAAGTTGATAGTCTTGTAGCTCTATCTCTACTTATGTTTTCGTACATTGATAAAGACGTAAAGTTGATAATCCAGCCCAGGATAAATGTAAAAGCTCAACTACTTTTCCTGCCAAGTTTGTTTTTTAAAACAATTTCTTGTTTCTGTCTCATTTCAGATGAACCTTTTGTATTCATGCTCAGGTATAAATCATTTCATTGTTTCTAATTAATCATTACATCTCGAATGGCGTTCATTTCAGAAAATTGAAGCAAGTATCTCACTACCATTGTTCTTGTTCCAGAAATTCCTCTTTTTCCAAAACACTTCTCTCTGCGATCAACTTCTTCGCCATATCTGAACTGTATTGCAATGAATCAGTCACAGGACACAGAATGGGGAGTTAAATATTTGTGCTACCGGACGAGCATGAAAAAACTACACTTATCATGGTCGTCTAATGGTCCAATTGGTGGACAGGATTGTATCAACACTGCCATGCCTTATCAACGTACTGCCAAGCTTTGGAACAACAGTTTCCTTTGCTTACCGCGTGACAGTTTGTTGAAGCTACGTTGGTCTGTATCTGGGGAATTGAAAGGATGGGGTTGTCTATTTATGAGGAATGGGCAACACGCAAGGACAAGATACTTGCTTTGTGGGAAGACCAAGTACGAAAAGAGCGGTAAGCTTGATTTCTTACAGCCTGACCTTTCCTTTTTTTTCTGGGATACAAAGTCTTTTTGAACTACTATTTCAGAGACCTCGGTGAAACAGATATGATGATCATCATCATCACCATCATTAATATTATTATGATTATTAATAATCGGTCATGAATTTTGGGAATCTTTATCCAAAAGGATTGAATTCAGTCAATTTTCAACTATCCAGGTCAGTGTATGTGACTTACTGAAAAACAAAATACCCATCCTTTTACTGACCATTCATATTTTACAACTGCGTCTGGTATTTACTATTTAAATGAGAGCAGTAGAGGCTTTAAGGGCAAAACGTTTGGTTACAAAATCTGACTAAACGTTTGATCATTAAACAAAAAAATGTTTCTTTAATCTCTAATCAGATGGTGGCTGGTCCAAATGGTCCTCTTTTGGCCCTTGTAACAAGAAGTGCGGTGGAGGATTCAGAACACGCGTGCGATCATGTGACTCACCCACACCCAAATATGGTGGAGACCCATGCAAGGGAAATTACTACGAAACAATTTCCTGTAACACCAATCGTTGTCTTGGTAAACTGATCAGTTCTTTTTATATCATTTATTTCAAAATTCGTCGGTAAAGAGCACGATGACAGACAGACTGGTAAATCGACCGTTGAGTTAAGGCCCTTATTGACAAGTTAACAGGCGTACGCTACACTTTTTTTACTGTTATAACAGATTTGTTTGAATGTTATTTTGAAGACCTGATACAGATATGATGGTCATCATCACCGTCATTATTATTATGAATTATTATTATTATTATTATAAGTATTAATATCGGTTTTCAGTTCTGGGAATCTTTATCAAAGCTGATTGCATTCAGTCAATTTTCAAATTACCAGGGCCAGAACTAAGAGATTTTGGATTGTAGCCGATTATCTACTTAATTGTTTGACTCTCGGATTCTTACTAAGGATAGACGCTTTTAACTCTTTCAGGGTTTCCTTCATGGCCGCGTGATTTCACGTTTATGTTCATAAGCTTCACTCCAAGACGAAAAATGTGCATCCCCATATATGAGAGATACCAGTATATTTACTGGGCAAAGGCCAAACTCTGCTGGGCCAGTACAAAGAGATACATTGACGTGCGATGGTCTGATAAAGGGCCTGTAGAAGACATGCGTTGTACTCAGATCAAACAGCAAAGCGGAAAGTATCAAACTGGTGGCTGGGAAAACAATTACCTTTGTATTAGAAATGCACCTTACAAGTGAGTAAATGTATATAGGATGCTTAGGGGATTAGAGGACTTTTGTGAGAGTAAGGAAGAGAGTAAGAAAGCGTAAACTAATTTTCGTTTCTGAGATCTCCGCTTCTTAACCGGAAATTTCCCCTGATGAACAGATACTTTCCGTTATTTAACCTCAGCAGTGTTTACAGCACTAATGCTAGTGGGGCCGAGCGTGACGATTTTTCAGTCTCAAACGCAAAACAATGCATCTTTCAATGCCTGATTTTGATAGTCGAGTGTGCCTCACTTTCGTTGCTGTTCACTCGTTGCTGTTTATCAGTGATACTTCTCTTTGATGGACGTTTGTTCGTTTGTCTGCTAAATAAAACAAGGGATTTTGACTTAACCCAAATTATATTCAGTTAGCAATCAAAATGATCCCGTCGAGGGGCGCTCATTTCCCATCCAGGATTGGTTATCTCGTTTTGGGCGAAAAAGGCATGGTGACTTCGGTGTAAATACACTGCAACTTCCCATGAGACCACGCGCTCCTCCTAAGTGTCGTAAGGGACGCCGGGAGGAGACGACATGACCAGTTTGTTTAAAATTTCGAGATGAAAGGAAAATGAATTTTGGATCGCAGGAGTTCAGTTTATATTTTTTAATACCAACGCCACTTAGTTTAAAGCTTATAAAGTAAAATATATATGTATATATCTTAATTCCAACAACTAAAGGGAGTAAAATTGTTAACGGCTGCAATGTAATCGTTCTGTGCAAGTAATTAATTTAATTTTTTTTCTTGTTGCATTCAGTTTTAGGTGGTCAACAAATGGCCCTATCAAAGGATTGGCATGTATAAGATGGCAAAACAACGCGTTTGCCCATCGAAACCTTTGGCAGAACAATTATCTCTGCGCAGAAGAATACCCTCGGCCAACACGGTGTACGTTAGATTCTTTGAGAGTAAAAATATTGATCTTTTTTCAACTTGGATAGAGTAGATAAGAATTTAACTTCAGCAACATTTGCCTACAATTGACAAATTGAGCGAGACAATGATACTGGATAGGGTTAAAAAGAACGCAAATTCATTTTTTTAGTGACCTTCTCACTGCCGTCTTGTCATGGTTGCTTGCTGTTGTTTCTCGTTTACTTAAGGTGGCTGAACACAGTTTTGTGGGCGGTCAGCGGTAACTCGCGTGACGGAGCGTGTTTCAAATCAGACAAACAAACATGGCGGCGAAAAAGCAGTGGTACACAGAAGACGGTTTCTCAAAATCTACTCATCAAAATTTTCGATATTTGGCAGAATTTTACTTTTATCGTATTTTAAATTATGAGAACTTTAAAATGGAAGTTGAACAGACGAATTTTGTGATACGTTTAATAATTACAGTACAGTACTTTTAATAATTACAGTACAAATAACCCGTCTGTTAAAATTTGGTCAAATAAGTTTCAAACGGTAATGATTAACTGTAGTAAGCTGTGCGCAAGTTTATAGGAAGATTAGGAAAATCTAATGAGCGAATTTTAAGGTTGTATTCAATCGTTCATGTTGCCATGGAAACTACGGAAACGTCAAATTTTACCTGTCAATCAAAATCTTTCATCAGTATATTTTTCACTTGCCGAGTTTCAGCTTGTGGGCTGCAACCTTTCCCTTGCCATGATTTGGCACAAACTGCCAAAACTGTGTTCAGCAACCTTAAGGTAGACGGCCTTTTTTCATACATTTTAGTCCGCGTGACGTTATCAAAAAATTTTCTCTTCACCATTCATGGGGGAGCTTGCGCGTTTTAATGACGCTGTAAACATTACCGGTGGGGGTTTAAGCTCCTGGCAGTTCCAACCATGCCAGGCTGGTTACAGGGCCGGGGAGGGGACAGACTAAAAGCAGCACCTAATCCTCCAGGTTTGGTGTGGGGCTAACAGCCCCAACCGGGAAGAACAACATCTTGTTACCAAAAATGCAACAATACAAACAACACAAACAAACCCTGGGTCCAATAGGGTGAAAGCTCAGGATAGTCCCAGTCCGGATGAAGAAGATGAGTGAGTGAGTGATTTTTTAAGGAAAGTATACATTCTTTTGACTGAAAGAAGCTGTTTCTTGAGTAACATCAAGTGGTCTGAAATGAGTGAATTAAGAAGCTCATGTCGTTCACTAAAAACAATTAAACAAAACAAAACAACAATATCATCATCATCATCATCAACAACAACAACAGAAACCCTCTAGTTTCAAAATGAACCCAAGCGCAAAAACTTTTTGTATATGTGAAATTATGAGTATATTTGCATGAAAATGGAAACTAATTTTCACATCAATGACTTCAACTTACATACATACATACCCTCGTTTTGGGAAAGAGGCTGGAGACAACTCAGAAATGGCTTATTATTTATTAATTAATGCCTTTATTTCAGACTATATGTATTCTCGGAACAGCGATATAATCAAAGGAAAACTGAAAAACCTTTTTATAGTTAGTATTAATCGTCAAGAAATACTAAAACCCGTTTGATTTTATCCTCTTTAGCTCTTAGCACAGGTTGCTATCCAGGATGGCGTTCTTTTGTCGTTAACAGCGTTCCATATTGTTACCTTTCCTTCCGCAACAAACATCGGACCTGGGATGAAGCGCGGAAATTCTGTAAAGAGAAGAAAGCGACACTCGCCAGCATCAATAGCAAACGGGAACAGGATTTTGTCAAACAGATTATCCCAGATAGTGTGTGGATTGGTCTTTACCATAAACAAGAATGGGAATGGACGGACGGGTAGGAATAGCGATGAAAAGAACCACTTTCTTAATGCTGACTATAGCCTGTGTAGATACCAGTTAGTTACTAATGTAAAGGTTTATAAAGGTACGGAAAAACGGGCAACACAAAATGTGCAACTTGTCTTGCAACATTGCTGCAAAACAAGTTGAATGGCGATGTTGCGCGTTTTACCACCCATGTTCAAACCTGTTAACAACCTGATTTGTTGCAAGACATTTGTTGCAAGACATTTGTTGCAACATCGTTATTCAACTCGTTTAGAAGCAATGTTGCAAGACAAGTGGCACGATTTTGTTGCCCGTTTTTCCGTACTTTAAAAGGCAACAATTTAAAGTTACGAGTACTAATTGATGACACTATTTCTACTTTTCCTAATGGAGAGGGGACCGTCATTTTTCGTGGTCATGGGAGCCACGATAAGGTCTATGCGATTGCAGGGCAAAGGAAGTACCTGCATTTCTTAGTTATTTTAAGACCCTGAGTATTGGTGCGGCTCCAAGAATCGAACCCACGACCTCCCGCTTTGCAGTCAAGCGCTCTACCGACTGAGCAAATCCTGCCGCGGTCAAAGTAAAATAAATGTTAAAAGATTTTGTCTGAAGAAGACACTCTTGTGATGGAAGATAAGCAGATACCGCGAAAGAGATCTAGAAAAGAAGTCTTTTCTCAAGCGCACCTGTGTCTCTATAATCCTCCGTCCCAACACGCTTTGATGAGCAATTTACGCAACTTTTATGAAAAACGGGAAATCGGTGTTGCTAGTACTACTTTTCCGACACCAAATGTTAAATTGATTAGCCTTTTAAGAATTCTAAAACATAGTTTTGGTCTTATACTCTTCATCTCCTTGAAAGTAACAAGTAAGCTCAACGAATGGCCCAAACTACAGTACATAGACAAATCACTCACTACTCCACATAAAGACCGGTGCTGTCTTTATACACTCTCCCCTTACCACCACAAAGAGGTTCTATCTCATTTATATTGCGCCCTCTCTCTATACCCAGTAGAATATGAGTATAAGATCTTAAATATCTTTGTTGGTTTGTTGTACACTTAAAGCGAAGTATTTTAACCCTAACCAAAAATTTTCGTTGTTAAACTTCTGTCAAGCTCATCAAATTGATGATGGTTTGTATAAGCTCGACTAATGTCCCGTTCACACCAACTAAACATGTTTCATTAAACTAGGTTTTAAAGAAAGAAAAACAGACCCAGTAAACTGGAATATAGGGTTCACACAGGATTCAAATTAAATTCAACATGTTTTGTAATTTGCACTAAATCTACAATCAATTCAGTTAGTTAGCAGCTTTCATGAAGGAAAGAAGATTCACACCATGTTCAACTAAACAGCTTTTAAACATGTTTAAGCTTCGGTATGAATGGCGCTTAAGTCAAGGTGGCACCTTAAGAGCATGCTTGTTATGACCACCTCCCTGAGGTGCTCCAAAGGCTCCTCCTCCTAAGTGCTTAGTGTTCCCTGAGCCTCCCTGGATGAAGCCTTGTTGATCAACCCCGGGGCTTAGTGATCCCCACCTACTTTGCTGCTGTGTTTCTCGGCTTAGTAAAGCCTGCAGCATCTGTAGTTCCCATTGATTTGCTGTGCGCACCGGGAGCAAAGTAACTGATCAAAGGAAACTGAGCAAAGTATCTGGTGCCAAAACCTTCATTTGTTAGTAACTGTTGTGTCATTCTGGTCATCTCAGGAGCAGCGTCACCTACGTCAATTGGAGTGCTGGTGAACCCAACAATGGCGGCAGATCTAATGTAACTGAGGAGTGCGTGGTGAACATCAGTTTCAGTGGAAAATGGAATGACTTCCCATGTGACACGAAATTTAACTTCATTTGCAAAATGAAAGCAGGTCAGTTGAGAAAAAATGGCTGGCCGTGTGTCCTTCTCTCCTCGGTTACCATTGCCATTTTAAGACTTAAAAATCATGGACCTGAATGCTGCATAAAGGCTTACATTGCCAAGATCGTTACTTACTGACAAGATCCATGAATTGTAGGATGTAGACAGAGTGTCTGGTAGACTTGCAGCGACTTTGTGGCGGGGGTTATTGAGATAATATACTCCTTATTATTGCCTAAAAGGGGAGGTTCCCCCCGAAAGGGGTTCCCCAATAAGTCTTAAGTTATATGAAAAGGTCCGAATTTCACGAGTTGAAGTTCTTGAAAAAGTAAGAAAATCTGTCAATTAGCTATCAAAAATGTTCGGTAAGGTAATCAATACATTTCTAACAGACGCGCCTTGTGTATTTACCATTTTCATCTTTACACTGCTTCATGAGACTGACTTTTAAAAAAAGCATGCTGTGTTCTTAAGAAGGTATTTAGTGGGGTCCCATTTTTCAGTAGTTATACGAACTACGGACATACAACGGGTACCTTTTCGGAAAAAGAGGGATAAGAAGGGAGAAGACGAAAGGGCTACCTTTTCTATCAAGAATGATATATAAAAGAGTAAGAGGTTAAACCAGCGGGGGAAAGCTACTTCCCATACATCCTCTTAAATGAAATCCAAACGATGTTCTCACAACTTGCAAAGCGATCAGCAAGGGTCTTGCCAGCGGATTTGAGTACTGATCATGCGCATTACGTCAAAAACCACAGATCAACGGTCTTGAGAAGAAACAAAAACATGGCGGTCGAAGGCGGGACTGTTTCTCACTATTATACTTCGGTAATTCGCAAATTTATTGATTTTATGTCGCTTTTCAGACATAGTGTGTGGTTTTCTTTTTCTGTTAAACAATTTCCCTCCGCAGAGTTTGGAATATGCAAAATACAGCTACGTATAGCTGTTAAGAACAGCCAAAGAGTTGAGCTATCGAGCAGTGTTTTGCTGCAAACCTTAGGAAAGTTAAAGTCGCTTAATGGTACAGAGCTTTCAGTAGTAGTTGTGATTTGTTTGTTAGAAGCGTTTGAATTTGAACTTTGGATTCAAGGTTTTGACTGATCGAAATAAACGAAGTGATATGTTATGCTTATATGACGAGTTAATTTTTATTCAGTTATGATATGTAGAGCTGTAAGCTCATATTTATAAAGCTCTCGTGAATATACTTGCTTCCGATAAATGTGACACTTGCTCCAGTAATTTTTATCAGCATCAAGTTATCCTTGCCCGGCAAAAACGATGTAACCAGGTTAAGATCTAAGACGGTTGCGTTTTAGTTTTGCCCGCAATTTTAGTACCGAAAGACAAATACGATATGCAAGAAAAACAAAGATGCATGATCTTTTTTTTTCAATTTTTTAAACATTTCTGATTTCCTCTGCAGGTTCGCTTCTTGCTTCTAAAAAGTCTAAAAATATTTACTGTTGGAAAAATACTGCAATTATCCGCTGACCACCACGCAGGGTGACCACTTTGCAAGTTATGAGAACATCGTTTCTCGGTCCCAGACCTCTTCTCTTACCTCCCCCCCACCCCCTGGGTTAAACCAATGGCTTAAATTCGTTCAAAGTTTATTTTTTAAAGTAAATTGAAAGTACATGACGAAAGCTTCGCTTTCAGGCTTGGCCAAATCTATGTATTAATAGAACCCGTTCTATGAATTGCGGTCTGACAAGGACCTCGGCTTGCAGAGAAGATCTTGGTGCCTTAAATTGTACAGTCAACAAAATTGAGATGTACTATGTGTAAGATCGAACGGACGCATGGAAATACAACCTGATTCTTTAATTCCTACTGATTTTCAACTACTTGTACTGATTGTACTTATCATTGTGTTTTACTTGGCTTTTAGTTTTGTAACAAGAGATGGTCAGTATTCCTGATGAACGTCGCTTGTGAAAGACTGCTACCATGCAATATTATGGAAGCTGTTAATACCACCATCAATTGTCATAAATATCTATGCGGTGGTGTTGCTGGAATAGTAATATAAATGAGTTTGCCTATACTTTTCTCGTCCCTCGAGCTACAATATACAACAAGTTGGTATTTTTAGAGGATTTTCAAACAACTTTTCGTTATGTAACTTTTGTAAAACGACAAGAGTCAAGAGGATTGATCATCAGACTTGAAAAAAAGCTTAACGATTTACTTTATTGGTGAGTCAGTATGTTAAACTGCAAAAAAATAAAATTGCCTGGTAAACACACTTTCAACCCAAAAAGTGTAATAGTCTGGACAACTTATTAGTTACGGTACTTATACATAACTTGTTACTGGGTATTACTCAAAAGGGTTTCAGTCTAAAGAAAGAACGATTTAACACATGTCTTAACTTTAAACTTAATTTACGACACGCACCCGTTATCATTCGTTTTTCTCTATTTGGCCCTAACACTTGACCACACTGTATTGCAACTGACAAGCTATACTGGTGGATAAAAGTAAGCAAAAATGCTTTGCTCTTCATCCAGCAATGCTGTCAATGTTAAGTTTACGCTTGCTACCGAAAATTAGAAGAGAGAAAGGCAACCGTGTATGCATTTTCTAGGCGTAAATGTGATGAAGTAACGGTACTGAATAGAAAACGTATACCAAGAGAGGATAGAGAGCTTCAGTTCCTCTCTTGCGTATACCGATTCTACTACCGTAGGCATTTATCCAATTTCTTGATCACAAGATTCACAACAGATGAGAAACGCACTGTCCAAATATTTTTCCCCATTGTGATCCTTTATCAGGGAATGTTACAAATGATATCTGAAATTATTGCGTATCTGTGAACTTCAAAAAGATCATAAACTACTAGGGGGAAGGGCAGGGTAAGATAGCAGCTCCAAGGTGTCTTAGTGTTCCAAGTTACCGGAAACAAATTAATCTTTGTAGTCTCTAAAACTGTACTTTGTGGAATAGTAGGCTTTGATAGATTATGCTCGCAAAATTAGCACAGTATGCCGCTTGCAGTGCTTGTACATTTCTAAAATTATGCCAATAATTATGCTAGTTTTTGTAAATTATGCTCATTTTAACAAAAATGCGGAAACTCTGCTTTTCTTTTTTACTTTAAATCTAGATAAAACACCTTGAAAACTATGCCACAAAGAAGTGAATGGCAAACACGTTTACCCTACTTACAATTCCCTGGCTCTTATCACTGTCTTGCAAAAGATAAAACAACATAACTCTGACAACTATTAAACTCAAATAATAATTAACACGCCATCTCGGGTAACCGAGCTACAATTTATGAGCATGCGTCAAGTCCTGTGGAAAGAGTCCTAGGTCACTTCCTGTGGGAACTAAATCCACGAATGTGACAAGAAGCAGACAGAAAAAGTGATACTGATCTCAGGCCAAACAAAAAATTGGTTGCATGATCAATAAATGACAATTTTGCGTTGAAAAACTAGCCAAAAATGTTATTAATGACGAATTATGCCAAAAATTGTGCTAGCACTTTCTATCAAAGGCTAACAGCGATGTCATTAAAAAAAACAATCGATTTAATAACTAAGAAAACAAAAAAATGTCACATGTGTGACATTGCCGTCAATGTCAGGAGAATTCGGCAACATTTGATAAGTTTATTTTTATAACATGCGCGCGTGCTTGCCCTATACAAGTCCTATTGAGCCGCTATGAACAAAATCTTTATTTACGCACGCCCGTGCGTAAAGAAAGATTTTTTCCATGATGACTTGTTCAGCTGTGTTTTTCGTCTCTTTTCCTAAGTACCCAAAACTCGACAGCAATGATGAAAAACTTTCTACACTTTTTTTGGAATTTAGCTTCGTCCTAGCCACTCAAACCAACAGCAAAATCGGTGAAGATGTTTCGCCGATAATAGAGCCTGAATGATTCGTTCAAAAGTCTGCCGTAAAGACTGACTAAGTGGAAAAAGACCACAAATTGGTCTGTGACGGAAGACTTCTAATTTGTCTAAGGTGTCCTCCGTTTTTAAGGTTTTTTTATCCTTTACAAAACAAGTTAATTATAAAGTAAGCTCAATAGCGAAAAATTTTGCACTCTTGTTATCGCCGAACAATCAGACTGAGGCAGGAAAATTTCTCTTGCAATAACAAGACAAATTACTCAAGAAGACATAAATTTTTAATTATTACTCACAAAAACTCTGAACTGCTGCCAGGTTTTCTCAAGAAGCCGTAATGACCAGCCATTGTTCGTAAATGAATATAAGTACAGTAGGATGACAGTCGTCTTCGCTAAAAAACAAGTTTCTGGATTTCGCCGAGCAACACATACACTGACATCTTTTAAGCAAATCCAAACCATACTCCACGACGTCTTACGAACACGTGAGCCCGTCTGCAGAGTACGAGTATGGCAGAACTCGACGAGATCTCGCGCGTGCAAGGCCGTTTTTAGGCCCTCAATTATTTCTTATAAATTTTTAAAAAACCTCGCGCGTGCACCTGCCATACTTGCAGACTGGTATGATGTGAGTATTTTAACTTTAGGTTACCTTTAAGCCTCTTTTACCTTTGTTTTTGCTTAGTTTCCATTGATCGTTCACGAATAAATAAGCAAATTTTCTTTCTCAGTTTTACAGAAAGAATTTTCATCCAAACTAGACGATTATCAGCCAATAGAAGCGTTAAATGTTTTTGTGTCGCGCCTTACGAGAATTTTGCAGTTAATCGAAAAGCAAGCATTTTTGTCAGCTATGTTGTAAAAGAATTTGCTCATGCTTTTAGCTAGCTGTGCGTATATCGAGTCATGGATGCACTTGGGAAGTTTGGAGAGCACTCAAGAAGCTAGAGCTGCTCTCGACTGCGCCTCGATCTACTCTTTACGCATTCGTGCTCTCCAAACTTCCCCCGTGCATCCATAACCCGATATATACACGCTTAGCATGAGCAAATTCTTAAATAATGGCGGGAAAGTTTAATAGAACGCGAAATCAGTTTCTTTTTAACGTTTTTGCCGCCGCCGCCGCTCAGTCTGTACAT